TATGTGGATGCACCCAAGCCGAACGGGTACCGGTCCCTCCACACGGGCGTCTATCTGATGGAGGGGGGGGGGACGGCCGAGATTCAGATTCGAACAGCGGGCATGCATGCCGAAGCGGAGGATGGAATTGCCAGCCACGCGTTGTACAAAGCAGAACTGCAGACCAGGGACCAAGTCGAAGACTTCCAGGAGCAGTTGGGGGCAGCCCGCGCCGCTACGCCCGCCGGGGAGGCGGCCGCCAAGACGGAGACAGGGAAGCCGGCCCTGTTGCTCCCCGCCTCCGCTAGCTCGGCGTCATGGGCAGTAACGGTGGCATTACCTGGTGAGGCGTCCTCAGGGGGCTGAAGCCATTTATGAAGCCCGGCGGAGGCTGGGGCTGTTCGAGGTCCTCGGCTTCAAAGATGTATATTTCATTGTGTGTACAAAGCGTGATGCGTGCAGTTTTTGAGTCTGTCATGATTGGTGCAACGATGAAAGAGCCCTTTGAAAATAGAAAAAAATATTGAGCCAATGGAGCCTCAAATGACTAATGCAAGGGTACTTGGTTGTGACATTCCTCGCTTTTTATTTACAAGCTGTGCTGCATCCGCCCTCGCCTCCTTCTTTTCTATGGAATTTGAGGAACCACACCGTCCAAGAACTCCATGTTTTTCTGAGAAAAGCGCGCATCGGCAATGTCCTCGTACTTTATTGTTTTTCGTTTGTTGGTGACGGCCATCGAATGCGAGGCCTTCGCTAGCTTGTCGATGAACAACTCTGTGGCTTTTGCCATCACCATAATAGCATCTTGGGACAATTGCTTTGTGTCCGGATCGAGCTTCATAATTCGCTTTATTGACGCCCTTGGTATTGCCAGCGTGGTGTCCTCTGTCACGTAAGCATTCGATGTTGATAGTGGTGGAATCGAAGCATTCCTTGCTTTCTTCGACGAAACAGGTGCCTCCTCTGCTTTCATAGATGCGGGCGTGCCTGCAAGCGGGGAAGGTTTTGGCCCTTCAGGTGTGTCACGCTTGCGCTCCTCGGTGCCTGTCTGCGTATTTGGGGTGTTCGATGATCTTCCGGGCAATGCCGGAGCAGTAGGCATCATGATTGCCGCCCCTGAAGGTGCTTGCGAAGGTGAAGCATAAGACAGGGCTGAGTTCGACGTTTGCAGGACTTCTGGTGAGCGCGACATTGATGCCTTTTTTATTTGCCTGTAAAGACGCATGATTACGAACGCTGTAAAATCCTAATTTCGATTATCACAACTTCGTCTACCTTATCTTCTCAATGGCCTTTCCTCAAAATCACTACAAATTTGCGCCTCGACATTTAACAAAGATGTAGCCTAATACGATGCGGCAGATTGGGTCAAGTAGCACAGGTCGGGAACAAAACGGAGGTACTTTCTCTCTTCCACCTACCCTTCTTCAGGCACTCCCTAAGAGCTACAGCTTTTCGGCTGTTAGCGAGAATGACGACCACATCGCCTCGCCTCTTCGGGGAAGCCTGCTCGCGGTGAGATGGCGCAGCCAGGACATGCAGCTCCCCACTCAATGTGTACAGTCTACCTCGCGTCATCCACGTAGAAAAGGCGGTCATGTGGGTGTCCCACAACGTGTCAATTTCGGGATCTCTCGCTATAACCTCCTGTCCCAGGCTCGAGCCCCCCCCTGTGGCTAGCGAACCGCCCAGTGCAATCGCATGCATCCTTTAATTCACCCTCAGCACTTTTTTTCTTAACGAACACAATTTTCAGGTGATAGGATGGCTAGTCTCACTTTTAATTCTACCGTGGATGGTGGAGGCTATGAAAGTACAAAAGAGAGCATCAAAGAGGCATCGTCACCACCCTTTTCTACCTCCTCCTCTTTTGCCGAAGCGCTCTCATCGTATTGCAATGCCGGTGACGCTGCTGCTGCAAGTAATGGAGAAGGGGAAGCAGTGCCTCCAAATGTCACATCGCCAGATGCCACGGTTGCGCATCTGAACACAATTCTCCTTCACGTGCAGCGAAGTAAGCGCTTTGAGGATCTAGTAGCCGAGATGGGGCCCTATCTCACTAACGAGGCAGCGTCGGTTCGCACGCGGTCTGCCACTTTGTTGGGGGAAGTGCTTTATCGTCTCCCGAGTCTCCCGCTCACTGACGCGGCCGTGCACCACTATGTGGAATTTTTTTCGAGCCGTCTGGAGGATTTCCCGTCCGTCGCAGGGAGTTTGTTGGGCATCCGCGCCTTGCTGCAGCACCACAAAGAACCTGCGCAAAAGGAAGCAGGCATAATAGCGCGTGGCTTATTCAAGCATCTGTATGTGCCTTCCATGACACAGACCATCCGACAACGGACTTTCGAGGTCGTGTTCGAAATGATAGGAGCTCTGAACGGGGCTGAGGACACGGAGGGTGAGTGCAATGCCACGACCAGCGGCGCCGCCGTGCCCGCCAGTCTGTTGGACATGCAGGACGAATTTGTGACGGGGGTGATCGAGTGCATAGAGGGCGAGAAGGATCCGCGCTGTTTGATCCTGTGCTTGAATATCATCAGCAGGGTGCAGGTCATCTTCCCGGCGGCCTCGGACGCACACATCGAGGCCCTCTTTGACATCACGGCCTGCTACTTTCCCATTACCTTCACCCCTCCCCCCAATGATCCCTATGGAATAACCCCCGATGTGCTGAGCCACGCCTTGCGCGAGGCTCTGACCCGGCGCCCGTCCATGGCTGAGTTCTTGCTGCCTCTGCTCGTAGACAAGCTCACATCCACCCATGTCCCCGCCAAACTGGAGGCCCTGCTCACGCTGCAGGTGGCAACACGAACCATCGGCATGCGGGCAATGCTAGGTAACCTCGCCTCCGTCACAGGGGCCTTGTTCCAGGAGATTGTATCGTGCGCGGAAGCTCCGGTGGTGGCAGCGGCCTTGGAGACCTGTCGTTCCCTGGCCGCACATTTATCCTGCCTCGAGGACGCCGGCAGGGGGACTACGGGGGGCAAGCCGCGAAGCAAGGCCTATGCCAATCCACGCGAATCGAAGGAAGGGGAAGGGAGCGGACGGTCGGAAAAAGCCGGGGCGGGCGAAGGTGGCCGGGCTCAGAACAAAGGGGGGGACCGGGCGGACGCGGAGATGGAGAAAGCCTGGCAAACAGTTCTGGTCAATATCGTGGGTAAGGCAGCTAGCGAGGTAAAGGCTAATCCTGACTCCATGAAAGGGCGCGCTAGTGCCCGAGTCCTAGGGGCGGTAGCGCGGGCGTCCGCCCGAGCTTACGCGGCTGTCCTCAAAGCGATCGTCCCGGGGGCCCTGCAACTGGCCACGGAGGGCAAGAAGGCCAAGCCAGGACGGATGGTAGTGGAAGGGGAGGGGGAACGACAGGAGGCAGCCTTGCTCTTGTTGGTTGATCTCGTGGAAGCAGTCGATCCAGACCTGGACTTCACCGCCAGTGCCCACGGCCCCCCCCTGGCGCCGTACGTTCCTCTCCTACACGGGAGGTTTCTTGCCTGTCTCAACTCACCGGCCTCGGGCCCCGCCCTCCTGGCAGTGAAAGGACTGGCTTCTCTCGCCACTCGCTCTCCTTCGCAGCTTTTGACTTCCGCCCAAGCCTCTGAGCTGGTTGTACTTTTCACGCACCGGATCCAAGCGGAGGAGCGATCTGTGGGTCCCGCCTACGATCGCAACCTGGATCAGGCGCTGTTAGAGGCCTTGAAGGTCCTCAGCGCCCGGCGGCAGGAACTCAGGGCAACAGTTGTTGAGCATACCGTACCGGAGCTTTTGAGGTGGCTGGACGAGGCAGCAGCCGGAAGAGGCGTTTCAGGTTCGACAGCGCATGGGAAGGAGAATGGAAATGGAAGGGCGGACTTGGACTCGAAAGACGTGGGCCAGAGCAGTCGCCCTAGCAGGAAAGAGGGCGTGAGTGCTGGTCGAATCGATGACAGTACTGTTGTAAACAAAGGCAAATGCAACGTGGAGTGCGGGATCAATTCTCTGGAGCTAGATCGATGTTTGGGTGCCCTGGCATTTCTGGCGGACCAGACAGAAATCTTCGAGGCGGTGTTGCCGTCCCTGTTGGCTCGTGTGTTAGTTGCGCAGAACATGTCAGACACGGCCGAGGACAAGCACAGGAACGATATGGGTGGTTGGACGTCGTGGACCCTCCGAACTGAGGAGGAGGCCAGGCACATTTTGTCATCGCTGGCCGCCATCCTTGTACGCACCAGCGCCATTAATCAGGCAGCTTTACCAGGGCTTTTGGGCCTACCTGAGCTAGCCAGCTCTAAAAAAGCGGAGCCAGGGCAAGTGGAAGCTATGGATGTGCAGGAGTCATTGCTACCTGTCGCAACGGAGAGAGGCCCTTGGCTGTGGTGGTTATTGACGGGTGTGCTCGGATCGGCTGCAGCTGGAAAGATCTTGGATGACGCTGCTCTAGACGCAATAGTGCGTATGATGAGCGCCGTTACTGAGGCCTTGTCCCGTAGGTCGCAAGATCTTCTGACAGAACGGCTTCTTCGTTTCTTCTTCCCTTTCCCTCCCTCATCTTCTCCGGCTGCCCCCTTTGTGCGTACCTCCACCAGCACTCCCTCCCGCTTTGGTATTGTAGATCCAGACCCTCCAGACGCAGCGACCTTTTCAATTCCTGGATTCCAACCCCTGGATCCGTCTTCTCATCGGTCTCAAGGGCAAGCTGTGACCATCCTGCTTACAGTACTCAACTCGCTACATGTAGACTCCACGATATTTGACTCATTGGGTCTGGAGCAGGACCTGCTTCCCGCCCTTGTCAACCTCACTCTGCTAGATGCAGAGGGACTGGGAGTGGTGGAACACCGCACCGAGAGTACCAGCATTGCTTCGGTTAATGATAGCCGTGCCCATCCTCCATTGGCCAGTGAAGGGCCAGCGCCGGCCTCGTGGGGCGTGGCTCTCATTGCCAACAAGGCCGCGAAGCCCAGGTTCGTGGAGGTCTTTGTCGCACCGCTTTTATCTCAACTTCGGCAACGCCTCGCAGCGGAGGAGAGAAAGAGTCACAGCAGCACGGAGAGTCTGGCCACGGCCACGAGAGATGTGTCATCAGTCGTGTGGCTGGCCAAGGCTTTGGCCCTCCGGTGCGTCCCGAAGGGTGCTTTGGAAGACGCCATCTCTTTGCTCATTGACGTAGCAGGCTGTACAATGTTAGAGGGAAAGCAAGTTCCAGAGAAGAACAAGATTGCGGAAGAAGCAACTCCGGCTCGCCTGGTGTTGGCTCGCCGAGCAAGCGAAGGCTTCGGGCTTATCCTGCGTGATTCCTCCTTGACAGAGGGAACAGCCCGGGAAAGCCTGCCTTCCTTCTCGTCCTTGACGACCTTTTCTTGTCCTATCCCGCTGGCGAATCAACTCCTGACGGCACGTCTCAACACTGCTCGCGTCAATCCTTTATGGCGACAGCGTCTCTACAACGTTTCCTTTACGCGATTGCGGGAGGCGGTGGAGCGACATCGCGCAAATCCTCAGGCACAAAGTGCCGCCCTGCTGGCACTCTGTAACATGCTTGGGTCGCTTCCCCCGCCGATCATACAGCAAGACATGGAGCCTATCATGCGAGTGGTCTTGCAGGGCATGTCTTGTGTCGCCACGCGTGGCAAGGGAGAGGGCGCCGACGACGACAAGGACACAGAAGAGGAAGCCGCGGCGGTCCTCCGAGCGCGTGCCACGGAGACGTTCGTCGCTTTGGCGAAGGAATCTTTGGATGCGGTCATGCCCCACCTGAGCACCGTGATCCCTCTCCTCTGCAAGCTCTGTACACTTGCCGACCCTCATTTCTTGCCCACAGCCCGGTTGCGCGTTCTGGCTCTGGGTAGTCTCTTGGAAATAACTCGCCTGCCGTACGCAAAGCTACATCCTTATCGGACGTCGGTTTCACGGGGACTGCTGGCCCCTCTGGACGATCGGAAACGAGTGGTGAGGCAGATGGCTGTCAAGGTGCGCAATGAGTGGCTGGTCATGGACAGGTAAGAGGAAGGGGATATGTAAATCGAGACCACGAAGATGGTAGAAATGAAGTGGTACTCGTGAGGGAACTCATACGGAGAACCCTCATATTTTGCGTGTAAAAGTAGAGCCTCAATAGAAAAAATCAAATCTTGTCTGCTGTAGTTTTGAACATGTTTCTTTACATGCCGTGGCACCGTCATTAATGCGTTTTTAATGTATTGGCCCCGCATATTGCAAAGTATATATATACATATAATATGTGTATGCATTGGAATTTCAAAATATAGAAATTGGTTGAGTAAAAGTGGTCAAGCCTAAAAAAAGGCCTGCTAGGTTCAGCTCATGCAACACGGTTAAAACTTGAGAGAGATCACGCAAGCATCACCAAAGAAAAATGATAAATACAACACAGCTATGATTCGTCAAGAACCACAAAATATTCTTTGGTGCTGAGTACAGCGTCTATCTTGAGAAGAAGACACGTATATTATTCACAAAGGCCTGCACAGCAGGGGAAATCGAATTCATCAAATCGTGCAATGACGCAACAGGGCCAGCCTTCCGCTGCAGCCACAATGGGTTTCCTATACCCTCCTTATAAAGGGTCAAACTGGTGTCTTGACCGTGCTCGCTGCAGCTGCAGGACATATGCGCATCCTGGAATGCCGCATCAGAGCTAGAAGAGTGGAGCTTGCGGCGCGGTCCTCGCCCCTGACGTTGCTTGTGTCTCGGGTTGGCCTTACAGTAAACAAAAAGCCGGCCTTGCCGCCGCACCATGTAGCAGGACGTGCACAATCGCCGCAGGGCGGTTCGAAGCTTCATCACTGCCTGTCTCTGACTGTAGAGGTTTCATGTGCATTCGTGGGGAATGGGTACCGCCACAGAGGACGGGGGTCCATGAGCATTTTGAACAAAAGTTAGCGTAATTCAAACACTCGTGAAGATAATCACTCCACGAGTGCGGTACTGCCTCTACGGTTTTCGTATCCATAAGGCAGAAGCTAATGTTTGGCACGTGTGTATATGACTTTAGACGCATGTGTATGGCCAAACGCCTCGCGGTATCACCGGCACCAAGGAGCGGGCGGCGGGCGAGAGCCGGGAGGTTGACCTACTCTGGGTGAACAAAAAATGCCCAAACGCCAGCAATAACCTGTGAAATCCGTCCACTTAACCCCCCTTACTCCATTGCTGTCCTATCAAAGCTTACATAGCTCACCAGAAACGAGCATAGCCCAGTCTTTCTTTATCGATCTGCGCTTTGGTCGCGTTGCTCCGAGTTGTTTGGGGCGTCGTAAGGGTATGTCACATTTGCTTCCACTTTCTCCTTACGCGGTTGCTGCCTTCTTAATTATATTTTGGGGCTATCTTACCTTGAATGCGGCACTTTACATAGTCATCTACCAATGCCGCTGTTCCGAAACGGAAAGCTGGAAAATTCAGACCCACAATACCAGACACATCAACAAGAGGGAGACTGGCACAATTTATGGTGCATCCCCTGAAGGCAGAAAGCGTCAGGTGACATCAATTTCGAAGCTAACTTCAACAGTCAATAATAACACCCTTATTTCTTTTGCGCTTGCGAATCTTGCGGACGTGCCCTGGCCCTGGCGACGAGGAGTAAAGGGCCGAGCCCCCCAGCATGCGCTATTTGCGACATGCAACCTGATGATAGCGTCGCTTTTCGCACTCCTGACGGCTGAAGGAACAGTGCGAGGCATTGGAAGTCAGCTGAAGACTGGTCATCCGCATGTACTTGGGACCAGGGAAGTAATTTGGTGGCTCTTGGGTGAGAGTTGGTTAGTAGTTGCGAGTCTGGGATGGCAGAGTGCATGGGAGTACTACTGGCATCGTTTGATGCATTATGGACCCGTCTACCGGCGATTCCACAAACACCATCACTTTTATAAAGCCCCGGCTCCTTTTGATGATATGTACATCGCTCCTTTGGAGGTAAGGGCCAGCTAATTTCTATTCAGCACTACCTTTGGTCTGCGTGCTCACTTCAAGCTCCTCCTGATGTACAGGCGTTGGGCTACTACTTCATTCTTTACTCTCCTGCCTTGGTGCTTCCCATGCATGTGCTCTCTTTTGCCGTGTACTTGACATTGCTCGGCTTGTGTGGGATCCTGGACCATTCTGGGATCGATGTCCGATTGCCGAGGGTGAGTGTCGAGGTAGAGAGAGGTGGAGGATGGTCAGGATTGGCGGGCAAAGTCCTCACCAAAAAATGCGTTTCAGATAGCAAAGGTACTTGCAGATGATCTTTACTGTAGTTAATAGAAGACATGTGCCCTCAGCGTGTTCTAGCTCCCAAATCACTCATTAACATCTCGTCTCAGTATGGCATTGATGTTGATGCTAATAAACATCCAAACCATCATATACACGACAGGTTTATGATACTCGCTTCCACGATATCCATCACTCGTACACAAATGCCAATTTCGGCTTCCCATTTCCTTTTTTGGATGTCTTGCACGGCACCTACCGCAAAGAGTCCTAGAAGGGTCCTCAGGAAACGCGGGATATGTCTGAAAACATCACTACGATACCTGCTTGCCTGGCAACATCACTAGTGTGCCGGGGAATAATCCTCGAATGGTGATATAAAGTTAATGTTAATAGACGCGTAACCATATTGATAGACATCCGATACGCTTGATGATTGGCTTTTGCCGTTTTTCAGAGGCGCGAAATTGCTCTTTCTGGTGCATTTTGTGTCTTAGAAAGTGACATCTCTGCGACGGTCCGTAGCACGTAGCACGTATATTACTTCTCCAGAAAAGGAAAAGACCGGGAAAACTGAATCGGGCATGTAAAGCCGGTGTAATTAAGATTCGAAGGAATTTGGCCTGCGACTGACGCTAGTCAGCAAGCATCTATCCCTATCTTACATTACATTTCTATTTCTTTCCCCATTCAGCTGTCCGGGAAAAAATACTGGAAAGGCAAAGAAGACGTCAGCATTAAGTAGTAAATTTTGTCACCAAGAGCAGCAGTCGCGACATCTTCGCACGGCAAAATTATCGGAAGAAAAAATGACCAGCCATCTTCACGATCACACCCAGTCACGAAACCGCGTCACGAATGGCGATGTAAATGACAAACGGCTTAACCAAGATGGTGCTGGACAAGAAAGCACGGAACAAGCTCACCATCAGCAGCATGGACCCCATAAAGATAGCGACGGACGACCCCGACTAATAAAGATTGTCCTCACTGGGGGACCCTGCGGTGGTAAAACCACGTCGCTTGCCCGCTTGTCGGAATTCTTCCGCACGCACGGCTTTCGTGTGTTTACCGTCCCTGAAGCTGCGACGACCCTGTGGTCGAACGGCGTTGCACTCGCGGATATCTTGGGTTCGAATGAGACCCAGTATTGGTTCCAGGATGCAGTGCTTGATTTTCAGATCCATCTCGAAGATGGAATGGAGCGAATTGCCCGCTCTTTAGGAAGGCCATCGGTAATACTGTGTGATCGGGGCACTCTGGATGGCGCGGCCTACGTCAGCAAGGAACTTTGGGAAGAATTAGTTAAGAAGAAAGGCCTCGAGCTTTTGAGCATTCGTGAAGGTAGATATGATGCAATCTTCCATTTGGTGACTGCGGCAATGGGTGCGGAACCTTTCTACTCTTTGCTGAACAATGTGACCCGCACGGAGTCTCCTGAGTTCGCGCGAGAAGTAGACATGAAGACGCAGGGTGTGTGGAACGGGCACCCTCGGCATTACGTCATTGACAATTCTACTGACTTTGAGGGGAAACTCGCTCGGGTCCAAGATGAAGCGGCTCGCCTGGTGGGACTACCACAGCTGCCTCGTGGTGCGGATAGGTGGTTTTTGCGAAAAAAGCCAAAGCCGGATTCTTTTACCGTGCCTTTTGAAAAAACCCAGGTCCGTAAGGTGTATTTGATGAACGTTGGCCGGCCTCTGCCAGACGGCAGGAAAGTAAGCGTTGAGTACAATTACGTTGAGGAGAGGTCTCAAGATGGATCTGTGGCCTATGCGCACACCAGCAAGCAACGCTTGGATGATGGACACGAGGCAGAATTGAAACGAATCATCGACGCACGCGAGTTTTACTCTCGCAGTACCACAATGGCTGATCCATCCAGGAAGGAGGTCTTTCAAACACGGTATTCATTTTTATGGGCACAACAAGCGTTTGTGGTAATCCACCATCATTCAGACGCCAAGACAAAGTTTGGACCTGAACTTTTCACGTTACGCCGGCAGGCAAAAGGTGGAATCCCAGAGTTCCCACCTTTTCTGGACGTTGGAGAGCACATCGAGGATGAAGATGGACTCTTTCCTTTTCCCACGCGGCCATCACCGACAAAGAGTAATACAACATCAATGAAATAGACACTACAGCCATGTAAACGTGAAACTTAGCAAGAATAGCGAATCTCATGATACTAAGCGAATGGCTAGCGCTCTTGTAATCGAATAATTTAATTCAAGCTACAATGTGCGGCAACAATATCTTAGAATTTAGCGCTCATGGCATACATTGGAATATACAACTCAACGTTCATAAAGTGACAAACCAAAAGTGTTATCTATGTACTAAGGGTGACCTCAAGCATTGCTCTCGATGCATTTTTTGGGAAGCGCTTTTCGAGCTTCTGCTGAGGAGGAATACCCAACCTGTATGTGACTTTGCATGTCTTTGTTAAGATCGACAAGAAGTTTTACAAAGTTTAGCAAATTTTCCGGGTCGACCATCGTGCTGAAAACCAGTGACTCCTCACTAATGCTATCATTGGCAGCCACGCCGTGGCTTTTACTTTCTAGAAGGGGCATTCCACAATTTTCATCCTTTATCAAGGGTGATGCGATCTTCGATGCCTGACCCTTGAGCGCTATGGCTTTCGCACGTTTAACGCCAAGATGCATATAAGTCATGCCATGAGAAGTAATCCTGTCCAAAGGCAGGCGACGTGCCCAAACAAATCCACACACTTTACTGACGAATGTGATTTGTGTAAAAGTTATAAAGAGAGTCGCTGGACGAGACCCTACGATACATCGGCAGTAGTACAATGGGGTCTCCACCTCTTCATCTTCAAAGACCCCTCCGTCATGGCCTATCTGATACTTGAAGTTGTGAAACAAAGGAACTGTTGTCCTGAAGGGGTTATCGCGGAGAGTCTCAAGCAGGAACAGCTGATATTCGTTGCACCTGCCCATTCGATCCACGATTTGCAAGTTCTTCCTTTGCATGCAAGCAGTCATCTCCGCGTCGCATTGCATTACGTTGTGTCGCCAGGCCCTGTCCCTTAGCGCATCCATGTAGGTGACCTTGTCGAGGCTTCCGGACCTATGAGGACGCTGGTTCTCCGCCCAGACATTTTCATGATCCGATTTATCTGCAAATGATTCTTCTTCGCTCCTTGCTGACTGATTGCAGGCTGCCAGAAGATTCAGAGGATAGTATGACAACGGTAAAGGTTCATTCAGTCCTGGGGGCTCGGCTAGTTTGTACAGTGTAAACATGGGCATCAGAAATTCTTTGAGCTGGAGACATTGTTTTTCCTTCTCCAGTACGTAGTCTTCCAGCTGCTGTATTGTCCCATCCAGTGCTTTATGCATTTCCTCCCGGGCCATATCCTCAAGTTGCCTGAGATAGAAGCGATCGAGCTTGGGGTCCTCCCCACCCCCGGTCGCTGTTTCGTTTTCAGTCACCGTCACCATGCTCGAGTACTCGCTCGCGATATCTTTGCTCCTACTGCAATCAGTATTAAGATTCGAAACAGGAAATGGTCTCCGGCACAGCGCCCGTTTATTGAAAGCGGCGCCAAATATTTTTGACTCCAGCGCCGCCAAAAAACTTCGCGTTTTGGGACAATTTTTTTCTCCTCCTGCATGCGGTCTCTTCACGCCACAAAAATTTGCCGCGCCTCTCCAGCTGGTGGTTCCAGAGCCATCCTCTCCGCTTCTACTGGGGATGATAAACCGCACCAGCAAAACTCGGTCCTTACTCTGGCGGTCGACGACGACCTGAATGTCCGCGAACTTCCATTCTGTACGCTTATCCCCCGAATTTCTTTTACTTTCGTCATTTGCAACCCGTTCTGCATCTGCAACGATTTGAAAGCCTTGACGAACAACCACTACGAGTCCCTCGTCTCGAAGGACTTCGAGCACCAACTCAAGGACCCGACCGCAAGACAGATCCGGGCGTAGTATTATAAAAGCCAGATGTCGGCAAAGCGTGGCTACAGCTGGCACGTCTCGAGAAGACGGCAACGAGGATGTAGTTTGTACTTGACTTGCATTCTGTTTGAATTGCGCCAAAGCGCGAAAGCCAGAAAAACGCTGCTCTATGGATAGCTCGCTCAGAAAACTTGAGGCACAACCCACTTCATGCATGTCCGAGGCTTCATCAGTCCACTTACTTTGAGCTTTTGCTATGGGGGTGGAATGCAGAGATTCAATAACTTCAACAAGGCTGCTGGCAATATCAATTGGCGTCTTATGGAGGACTTCAGGACTATCCTCGTAATTTTCCATTCCAAGAGGGGCCAGCAGGAGGGGCTTCTCGCTCTTATTAACGAGAGTGTCAACATATTCTTCCTTTTCCTCTTCCTCAGATAGTACCGAAAATGTTGCAGGACTTCGACAAGGTGATCTTTCTTCCTGACCATCCCCCTGCATTATGCACCCACCCGGCATCCTCTCTGGGGTCGAGCACGGCATCGGTGTGCTGTAACCATGCGTGTGCATGGGAGAGCAAGCCGAGCTTTCACTCTGACGAGCGCAGTCCCAATATTGACAGTGAGCAGATGGCGCGTCAAATGCAATTTCATCGCAAACAGATGATGAGGCGGAAAGTAGGTCAGTGTTGCTGCCTCTTGGGTTCTCGGCAAAGGCGGAGTGAGAAAGGAAGGAAGGTGTCGAGGGAGACTTATCCATAGAGTAGGCCGTAACGGACAATGGGGACAAGCAAATAGGTGTGTTGTCACCATTAAGCTCCAGCTTCCGCGATGGACTCAAAAATGATGATCTAGCCTTCCGATGGTCGTCATGGTCACGCCCACTTCCTCTGCGGATCCTCATGAGGCTTCTGAGCTTCTCGCTGCTATCAAGTAAACGCTCTTCCTCCTTTTCCATGTCATCATCACTATCGTGCCGACCATTCTGATGTCTAGATCGTGCTGGAGACCCACCCGGTGAAGCATTTAGGCGTGCAACTGCTTTCTCCATTCGAGAAAATAAGACAGATATGTCATCTTCGGGTGTTGCTGAGAATGAAAAGGGCGAGCCAGCATCTGTCATGGACTGCGCTTCTAGGTTCCATCGTATCGCGTTAATAAATGTTTGTGATGTTTGGGAAGCGCATTAGTGTGCATGTGGAAGTCTGTCCCATGATTTTACGTAATCGCCTAAATGGGCCAATGGGCGAAGCTCCTGGAAACGGTTTGCAACGGCTCCAAACGGACGCTGATTCGTCGATGATTATCCTTCCTCTGTAACTCTTTTCATTCCAATTTCCCTTTATCCCACGGCAAAATCTCGTCCCCACGTTCTTATGGACATTCTTATGGGGGCAAGTTCCTCGTGGAAGCTATCATTCTTCCACAATGTCGACGGAATGGAAGAAGAAAGAAAACCCCTGCGCTTCTTGCACCGTCGAAGTCTATCTCCTTCTTAAGAACCAATACTTTCTGCCGAATTTCCGCCATGAATCCTTCCATGATAGAAGTGTGGTTATAAATTATATCAGAAGGGCCCACCAAAAAAAAGTTGCGTTACTTTGATTTATAAAGCCAAAGACTTTCCCTTGCCTGTAAAACGACATCTCAAACACATGTGTAGTGATGTTAACAAGCAATCCGGACAACCAGGCTCATAAAGTGTAGATACTGGTGACACAGTCAGGCAAGTTTTCTCTCAGCCAGCTACTGCGCATCGTGGTATCATTTGATTGGGGCTTTAATTTCGCGACATCAAATTTCTGATTGTCCACCAGCTGAGTAATTTCGCCGTGTTTGCCGTGCCTCTAGAGACCCTTTCTTTCCTGCCTTTTTACCGCTTTTGTTCAAGTCAAAGATCATAGCTTAGAAAATAATAACGCCAAGTAAAACCTATTCAATTAATTCCTTGGTACCCTTTTGATTACTTTTTTCTACTGGCGCGATTACCACCGCCATTATACCTCGAGCTTGGCAAGCTCTTCGACTAGAGACGCCTCTGTAGCCAACTTGTTTTGCTGATCATCGTTCAACTTTTCCCCACCCATTGCCCGGGCCTTCAATTCCTCTATCTGCTTGAGCTTCTTCTGGACAGCTTTCCTTCTCTTGACTGGATCTTCCGCTGCTACAAGAGCTGCAGCTGCTTGTTCTTTCCTTATCCTCTCCGCCTCAGCTTCGGCCTGTGCCCTCAATGCTTGCTCAGCTGCCTTTTTCTTCTCCTTCCGCGCCTTGTTTCTCGCAGTATTTTTGCTCTCTCCATTTGTTGTCGCTCCCGCTGGCGCTAGGCCGGGTATGTAAGGCTGTCCGGGTGCACCATATGCACTAATACCTCCACCTTTCCCTGCGGCCACTTTTTTCGGTCCCGACAAGGCATCGCGCTCCGCACGAATCAACGCAGCCAGTGCCCCAGTGGAGCCCGGTGGTCGATACGCAGTTTTTGGCTTCGGAGGTGGTGGCACCGTCGTTGAGCTATCCCCCTCCATTCCCTTGCGAGGCGGTGTCGCGGGTCGGTCGGGGAACACTCCCCCTGCCGCTGGCCTGAAGCTGGCGTCGAACAAAGTCGCATCCTCAAATTCTGCGTTGTGCAGAGGCCCTGCTCCATTGTACTTGAAGAGCTTCACGGCGTTATCCACATTCATACGGGGCGCCAAAGTGGCCGTCATAAAGTAACGACCGCAGGGACTCCATCCATAGCCCACACTGCAATGTGACGTGTTCCTGCCCATGAGCTTCTGCTTGTTCCGGTCCCAGAAGTCCATTTCGCCGGCCAAATTACCAAACCCTGCTAGCACAACGAAACGTCCATGCGGGCTGAAACTGACGGTGTTGCGATGTGCTTGACCGAATTCAAAGATTGGCTCCGCCTTGATGTTGTACAACGTGGCGGCTGCCGGCATCCGCCCGGCCAAGACAATAAATTGCGCCGGCCCCGCTGGCGCCCACTTCGCATCAGAGATCGGGCCCTCCTTGGGTAAAGGCACCGTGACCTCGTATTTTCCATCCGCATGTAGCAGGTAGAGGCCTGTAGATCCATAGTAAGACACGCCCGAGGTGTCCACATCCGTGTGTGTGTGGATCAGGACGGCTAGCCCGTTGGGAGACCAGCGCAGGTGGGCTTCTTGGGCCTTGAAGAAGCTTTTGGACGCTAAAGCCACCCCAAAATGCGGATATTGATAAATGCGGACGGAGGCGGGTTTACCTTTGGCTTCCGGAAAGAAACAGGCCACACGATGAGGCGGGGAGGCGTTGGGACTGACGCGGAGGGAAGCCATCCCTCCCCCGGACACCGCAAACTTTTCTGGAGAAGCCGTCCCTGGCTCTTGCCCAGGATAGACATGAACATCAGTGGCAGTGGCGCGAAAACACAGGCTCTCATCCGGTGTCCATTGCAAAGTGGGCCATTCAGGTTTACGGAAGGTTTTTTGCGTGAAACCGGCCACTAGTACACCGTTTTCTGAACGCCACACCAGTAAATTACCCTTAATACCGGCAGTGGCAGTCTCAGGAGTAGTGTGTGCCGTGCTGCCACTTTGACTGGTTGCAGTACTACTGCCTGGCTGCGGTGCGCCCCCTGAAGCCAGACGCTCCCAGGTGAGGAGGAAGGTTCCCTGGGGGGAAAAGGATAGTGCTTGAATATTCCGTCCTTCGACGGTCCACCGCACGTTTCCCGTCTCCACGTCAACAACTCGTAAGCTTTTAGTTGGAGTCGAGGTTACTATAGCCACGGCACTGCCATCCCCGCAAAACTCAGTCAAGTCCCCAGGCACAGGCTTGCCAAGGGCTTCGTCGGGTGCTGGTGTGAGGACGGGTAGACCATTTTCTCCAGTGGTAAGCTCCTGAAGGTGCACCCCAGCCTTACTACGCAGTAAAATTTTGACTGCTTGAGGCGGAGCGGTCATAGACAAGCTGCACGGTAAATTTTGATGCAATTTAGTACATTGTTAAGCGGTCAGATCGAGGAAGCGAACAGGGTAACATGGACACTGTCCGCAACGTTCTCAGGGGGAAACGAAAATATCACCGAAAGTTCTTTACTGACCCGTGCCCACGAATTTCAGCTGCTCCTACAGAGGCAAACACAATGAGACTGTCTCCGCACGTGTGTGCTGTTTGCGGTTACTTGTCGCGTCGCCCCCTCTCCACTTATCTCCGGGAGGTTGGGCCGACCCGGGTATTCTGATGACTGAACCCGAGGTCGGCAGTGTTGGACCGTCATATTTTAGGGACGTCGCTCAATACATCCTTCTCCCCAACCTTACAGCTGTATCGCGGGAACTTATTTCTTTAGCAGAGTAGAACTGTCTCTAAAGAGGGCTATTGATGATGAGAAAGCGGGTCTTATTGATTTTAGCCATTGCAACGTAGAACTTAGCATGCGGGCCGTACCTCATGTAACAGATATATATATTTATATGTAAAGCAATACATGAAATCACAGGGAGTAAATTCTTTGTACAATTTGAAAATACGTTCATGCGTGCTTACTAAGGTATCTCATCTCTTTACCTTCCGTCAGGTCTCTTGGGTGGCAGGGGCAGACCGATGTTACACCTTTCAGGCGTCTTTCCTTTTTCTTCCTCCAAAAGCTTATTGTTTTCGTAACAGAATAGTGAGTCACGCTCAATGTCTGTCTCTGCAATAGGACCCAGTGTGTACGATTTGGAAACAAAATTATACTTCCCAGGTAAAGGCGCCCAGATTGCTGAAAATTGGCGTCGATTCCATGCTGCATCTGGCGTGGGCCCGGCTGCCCCGTGAACTAATTGAACTGCAGGTCCTTGGTACAGCAAATGCACATTTACACAATGATTTGTGAAAAAAGCATGCTTGGCGGCGGCTTCGACGGGGATGCGCTCGTTTCGCTCAACTTTAAGCAGGGATTTTATCAGGCTTTTTACGTCGTCGCTGAGAGTAAGGGCAGTCCTGCTTGTGTTCAGGAAAGCTTCTCCAAAGACGAAGTCTCCATTAACCTTTTGCCCTTCTGCAAAGCGTACAACGCGCTCTCTGATGTCCGTATCCGGGCTTGTATCGTGCTCAGTGAACACGGGTGGGCGACCCATCAACAGTTGGAAGAGCAAGCAGCCCAAGGCCCACGAGTCACTCAGCGCGTCAGGCACCGCCCCGTCCCGGACCACCTCGGGAGGAAGGTAGGCAAAGGTACCCTCAATCCGCACATCCTCCTCTTCCTCCCCCCCCCCCCCCCCC